CTCACCCGTGCCATCTTGGAGTTGTATGGATCTCAACTCCAAGAATCCTCCACCCAGGGGGGAGAATTCGATGGCGGGCTGGGGAATTCTGGGAGTTGAAGTCCGCACATCTTCAAGCGGCCAAGGTTGAGAAACACTGATATACACTATTCCAACCCCCTCGTTTAAAGCAAAGGTTCTTCTCCATCTCCACCTAAACAGAACAATATTTACCAATGTTGGAATGCTTCAGGAGACGGCAGATGCGAGCTTCTCGCTCCAGCTTCTGGTGATCTGGAAAAATAAGAAAAATGGGCATCCTTTAGCATGTCATGGAAGTCAGATCCCATAATATTAGATTTCTTACCAGAACATCGAGGAGAGAGATCAGCATTTCTCTTAAGAAGAGAAATATGCTAAAAGCAACAGAATTCAGAACCACGTTGCTTCCAATATAAGGTGGAAGTTATTGGTGCAGGCTGTTGGCTTGCACAAAAAAATAGCATCAATCAGAGTAGTTCAATCCACTTCTCTGATAAGCTAATTTTCTACTTGAAGGGATTTGATTTTTATATCGGTGAGCACTTGATTTCAACCACCCCCTGCATATTTAAACAACAAAATCCATTGCATCACTCTGAACGTGCACTGACATGCCCCCACTTTGGGGGGAGGGGGATCTAATTAAAGCATTTAAAATACTGAATGTGCAAACTTTCTTTATGAGTTTGTTAAATGAACTAAAATATACATCGATACAACCTAGAGCAATGAAGACAAGCAAGTAAGTAGCGATACACAGTATGAGCTGTAAAAACAAACGAAGGCTGAGCTGGTATCAGTGAGACTCAGAAGCCTGGTGAATAAATGGCCCTTTATTTGGTACTAAAATGAAATCAATATTAGTATTAGCCTGTTATCTTAGAAAAGGACATTTCATAAATGCGGAATGCTGACAGCTCCCATAGAATATGTTGCTTTCCACTGTATGATACAGAAAGAGGTAAAATCAACCCTATTTCAGTGAGACGGTACTTCAGATAAGGATCATTTAGGAATCTCAGGAATAACAAGACGTTCAGCCATTTTATTATTTATTACAGTTCTAATCCACCCAATAATCAAAAGTTTGTTCTACTTGCACTAAAAAAGAGTCCCAATAAATGTTACAAAAACCGTGTGGGGTTTTTCTGAACACACTCAAACTGACCCACTCCAAATATGTATGTCTCCTGTTATTTTGCCAAATCAGCTACTTTTTACAGGGATTTAGTAAGTTATCAATCAAAACTGCCGATAATAAGTAGGATTAAAGCTGTTTTAATGGTTTCTCTTATACTCCTCCTCAGATATTTTGCCTTTTCAATGAAAAGTGGCTCCCGTTTCATTCTCACCTATATGAAATTATGAATGGGATTAAGAAAGCAAGGAGAGAGAAATAATTCTCTTCTTTCTCAAAACTGAAGAATTTCAGTAGAATTCAGTAGAAACCAAAGCGGAACACATTTTTAACTTGGTGCAACACATAATTAACATGATTTTTCTATCCCAAGACATTGTAACATCCATTGCTGTTCCTGAGAAAGAGGCAAGGATGCACCAAATTCTTTCATCCTTAGAAGTCTGACTCTTGCATCTCTGCAAACTGGAGGAAAATTATCATAACCTGTAATTATCACTTCTGTAGAGGCCCATAGATTAGGTCAGCTTTTTAAAAAAAATCTTCAGCAGTTAAATGCATTAAAAATTGGGCTCAATTGCCATAATGGAGGGAAAGACAGCGTTTATTACAGTCACAAACCAGAGTTCAGAAAAAAAAAACATTAACAATAAAATAAGAATAAAAGCACAAAATAGGATAATAATGTTACAGTTGGTGATGGATTGGAGGAAAATGCATACACACATAGCAATAAAGGAGCTGTTTGCTGCCTCTGATTTTATAGTATGACAATTTCATGTATGTGTGTGTAGGCATTTTTATCTAAGCTTCAGCAAGTTTAATAAGAGAATGAAGCTGATTCCTCATGCCTCCAATTTTATAGTATGGCAATTTTGTATCTATAGGTAGTCCTTGTTTAGCAACCACAATTGGGACAGGCAAGTTGGTCGTTAAGCAAAGCAGCTGCTAAGGGAAACCACCACTGTGCTTATGATCTGACTTCAGCTTTCCTTTGCTTTACAGACCTGCGAAGGTTGTAAATGTGAAGTTTGGTTATAAAGTTACTTTTTCATCACTGTTGTAACTGTGAATGGTCACTAAACAAGGCAGTCACTAGACTGCCTCTATCGATCTATCAGTCAATTAATAAACAGGCATTTTTATTTAACTTAAGCAAATTTCACCATGCAATAATAAAGAGAATAAAGCTGGTTCTTCACTCTTTCTTTATGTTTACACACACACACAGAGGAAAAGGCAAAAAGGCAACAGATTACTTGCATGACAGACAAAACCGTTGTCCAGGATAACAATCAGGATTTCAAGTGGGTGGTTCTCTAGTAAGAATCAGTTGCTGCTAAGCTGGATCAGTCAGGAAGTTGTGTCTGCTCAGAAGGGGTTGAATACTTAATTCTCGAGGTATATCTGTCTATCTTTAGCCTTGTAAGATTTAATCTGTGATACACTGGAAAGTGCATTTTCTAGCCGTATCATCTAGACTGTGCGACTGAATGAAGCACTGAAGGCAATTATTATGAATCAAGTGAGGCATGATTAAAGGGGCATTGATTTTACCCAACTGAAGAACTGATCATAAGAAATATTCATATGGTGAAATATGACAGCAGAAAAATAGAAATGGACGTTCACCTTTATGTAGCTAATATAAAACCTCCAAACTGCAGTTGATTATTCCCATCAACACATAAAAAAAATTGTTGTCTTGCCTTCTGACCTCTAAATTCCCTATATTCTCCCCCCTTTTTTGGTACACTTTCTTGAGTGTACAAAATAAAGGTGGGATATAAATCTCATAATATTAATAAAATGTACAAAGTACTTGATCTGTGTATTTCCAAGACAGGCACTTTCCTTCATGCAAAGCAGTGTCACAGATTCTGCTTATGAGCAACCCCACTGATCTGCACCAGAATTTGCAGGGGTGGGGTTGTGTAATGGTATGTGGAAACGACCTTGGGAGACAGGAGGAAGAGCCGCAACCTAGACAATGGTCTAATAAATGAAATTTGAGTCCAAAGGAGGAGTGGAGAAAGCATCTCAGAAGGGACCCTCCCTAGTTTTGGGGAGAGTAAAAGTAAAGGAAGGGAGGGGTACTTTCAGACTTGCAAGATTCTGTTAATGCAACCTTACAGCAAAGATAGACCTAGTAATCATAGCTGTGCCTCTTGTCTAGACTAGCTTGAAGGGATGACAGGCTGTTTACTAAAGAAAATGGAAAGGTCCATCAAGCATTTAGCAACAGTTTTCCAGCCCTCTTTGCAAAACTAGCTAAGCTGAATGTGACAAATTCCTGCTTTCAAATCTCCTTTCTTTCTTATTCCCAAACTCCACACCAGCCTTGTCTTCCACCCAGGTTTTTCATTTTTCGGCCGATCTTTGGAACGTTTGATCCCCTGTCAAAAATGTCTCTACTTTCCCCAACTCTTTCATCTGTTTTACTTAATTATTTTAATTATGTGATAGGTTAACTGCTGTGAGATGCTTAGAGAATTGATTCAGAATGGCAGGTTACAAACCCTTTTGCCAAATACATATATTAACAAATGAACAGATTGCACCAAAATATCTAATGCTGAATCCCACTACAATATATAACTTTAACTTAATGGCTATTAGTACTACTATTAATAAATGGTCACGCATTATTTCTGCTTTAGCAGGGGTTTCCTTTCATGTTCTATTACTAACCTGTTCTAAATCGTGCTACTAAATAATGCAACAAGAATCATTCAAAAATTCAAAGGAAAATGGATTTCACTGGGATCGAAGTATCTTCCTCTTTGAATTGTAATCTTTCTGTTTTCTCACCATTTATTTTTTTAAAAATATGGAGAAAATGCTTGAATGTTTGCACAGTATCTTTTGATTGATAGCCCTGAAACCAATCTGTCTCAAAGCACCCATTGTCTAACTATTAGGACTATTTTTCTGGTCACTCTTTTGTACAACTTAAAAGAACTGTATATTGTAGTTGTTTTTCTGACTTGAATTTACACATAACACTAAGTTATGGTTTGCAATGAAAGCCAGTTTGGTGTAGTGGTTAAGGTACCAGGCTAGAAACCAGGAGACCATGGGTTCTAGTTCCACCTTAGGCACAAAGCCAGTTGGGTAACCCTGGACCAGCCTCTCTCTCTCAGCCCTAGGAAGAAGGAGGCCATGGCAAACCACTTCCAAAATCTTGCCAAGAAAACTGCAGGGGCTAGTCCAAGCAGTCACCAAGAGTCAACACTGTCCTGAAGGCATCAAAAAAAAAAAAGGTTTACAATAAACTATGACCAGTTGGATTCATAGAATGCACTCAGCTGCATGATTTACAAACTACAATGATGTAAACCAGAATGGATTCACTCAATATGCTAACCCAAAGTCAAACTTCATTATGGCTTAGTTTGATGTTTACATAAAGCTAGTATTCCAATTTTAATTGTTTATCTTTTCATTTATTTCTATTCTGCTTTATTGTTATAGAACTGAAAAAATGTCCCTATTGCTTTCTTGTTACAGAACTGTTGAGAAGTGAACCAAATCTTGAAACATTTAGTTGAATTTGGAGTATTACCCACACATAGAGGGAGCAGGTTATGTGTTGCAAATCCTATTCCGCTATATCACTGTTAGATTCTAAAAAGGACTTGGGTTCTGATACCTCCTTAAGGAATATACAAATCTCTGGTGCAAATGGAGTTCACACATGTCTTGCAGCCTTTGCACTTCCTGCTTCTTATGCACATGTGTCACGAGCAATGCACGTACATTGTTTCCAAAAATAAGAACTGCCTGGTCACACTTTCCCAGGAAGGAAAAAAAAATCATTCTTAATCATTCAGGTACTATTTCGCTCTATTTCTCACTGAAACTCTATGAAGCCATTCTCCATGCAACAGATGGGAGTGTGAAAATTCTAATTCCATCCAATGTGTGTGTGTCTTTGAGCATCCTGCTAAGCCATGGTTTATTTAGCCTATCTTTGTTAAATCAATCACATTCTGGTTTAGTGTGTTATATGAACTCAGGGAAAAGTGTGGTGCCCAAAATGTTTTTGTTGCTGGATGAAGAACCCATTTTCTGGAGACTGGTATGCATGGTATCAATTACAAGTTCTGAAGAG